ACACACACACACACACACACACACACACACACACACACACACACACTAAAGCAAATCCATAAAGCAGAAGAAAGCAAAGCATTTGATTCAGGATAACAACTTGGACTGTAACACAACCTTTAGAAGTTAAGGAGAGTCTTATATATGGAACTGATGTCTGGCCCTGGAGACTTGACATTTCTGCCAGGTGGGCATAAAGGAATGAGCTGACACTGGAAGACTGGCTCTACCACACACTTGTATAAAAGTGGAGAAACTGCCTAGCTTCTTTGAGACTCCGTGTTCTCATTCATAACTGCAAAAACAGTGGTATGATTTGCTTTACTAGTACACTTCAATAATGATATGTATGCATAGGTGATTATATTTTTATTAAATACTCTGAATTATACTTAGAGTTCTGGTACAGCCATATCGAATGGGAACAGCAAAAGTCATAAAGCCAGCATAGCTGACAAAGATCCAGCAAGATCTTTGAGCCACATGATGTGATTGCTGTCATGCTGTTTTCCACTTATGGTCTTGGTTACCACGGGTTGCATGCTTGGGGGTATTGGATTGATGGGAAATTTCTTATGAATCATTTATTCCTTCTCCCAGATGTACTGCTTCTAAGCTTCCCCAGGAAATTCCTGAGCATATTAGCCCTCACGCTTTTAGGGAGATATCCTTATCTGGCTTTACTGGTAGGTCTTCCTTATGCTCTGGAGGATGTGACTCAAATAAAGATGCCAGAGATCTCCATGTGATGCTCCAGCTCCAATAAACCCCTGGAACATCTGCCTCTGTACTTACTCAGGAAAAATATAATCAGGACAAAGTAAACTTAATAACTTAAACAAGATTCAGTGGCTAGAGAAGTTGGCAGAACAGGTTAAAAGCCTCTTCTTACTATATACACAGGCAATTACATAGCACATAAGATTGGGGGCCACATATAGTATACCCTTTCAGGATAATATATAGCAACAAAGTTAGACAGGCTGGAGTTATCGCTACCCTACACAAGGACTTAGAGACAAAGAATGGTGTAGAAAAATGATAAAGGAGTGAAGTATTAAGACTCTCCCTTTCTTAGAAAAGTTAGCTGATGTAGGGCCACTGCAGTGTAGTATGACCAAGGAACAAAAGAATACCAAGATTAGACATCTAAATAAATTTTGCAAATATATAAAATATAAGCATTCTATTATACCAGAAATTGAATAATAACTGCAGCAGCTTTGGACTCAAAATTCTTCTTGAGGCTAATGAAAATTAACACTCTGACCATTGAAAGTTGATAATTCACTGCTTGGGATGTGGCAATTTGCCCAGGCTGGCTTGGAGATTTTCTTTCTGTCTAGTACCCATGAAACCGCAAGAGCTACCAGCCTGAGAACAGACTATTGTGCTTTGGTAAAATATGCCTCTAGATTCTTAAAAGTTGGGTTATGGGGTTGATGAGGGAAAATGATTGTAAAAGATAAATCTGTTCTGTTGCAGATTATCAGTGATGACTAAACTTATGACCAAAAAGCAGTTAAAATGTGTCTGGGGACAAAAATGATATAATCGATGTTTTGGAAAAACATGAATCTCTCCTTGCCTATTGAGTTCTGTATGAATAAAGAAGCACTCCGACTGCCAGTTGTCAGCCAGGGTGAAAGATTGATCCAATGCCTGTGACTGACTCACTTCTCCTTCACCCATTCATTATCTCCTCAGTGGGACCTGGCCACTGCCACAGCTGCCCTCTGGCAGGGTTCTAGCAACAGTAAGTTCAAAAACAGCATAAGAGCAAAAGCTAGCTTATGATCATTTCTGACATAACCATACTCAGTTCCATCCCTTCAGTTAGCGATGCCATATACCAGAGAGGTTTCCTCTACATAGTTTAGAACCCTTTCTGGCTTCAAAAAAGCCATCTCCCTGGCATTGCTAACAAGGCGTAAGAATCTAAGGGTGATTATAAATAGAAATCTTCACTGCCAGACCCAAACTCTGACATACCCATTATTTTTTCTCCTACAGTGAAGAGCTTCCTAACAGTGATTCCATACAATTCACACTGTCTTGAAAGCGCCTCATCGATTCTAAGGAGACTCACTCCGCTGATGCTTTGTCTCTATTTTGGGGACTATGTCACATATCCCCTCCCCTTTCAGTGACAAAGCTGGCATCTCCAAGCACTTAACACCTGTCATTTGCCAGGTCACAGTGTGCTTTCTCTAAGCTCTTACCTTCTTTTCTCAGGTTATTTCCATCCTGATTCCCTCTCGCTCTTGCAGAGTCCTGAAGCATCAGTGTTGCATAGGTCACTTCATCAGACATCCTAGGAGAAAGTGGTTCTGTCGATTAATGTTGCAATTATCTTCAGGCCCAGTTCAGGCCATTCCTTTTCAAGGACAGGCGCTTTTACACAGACACAAGACACTCCCTATTGTTCCTTTGTAAAGACAGAATGAAAGTCAATTTCTCCCTAGTGAAAGTGAGAGAAAGCAGAAACTCTCCTTAGGAATTAGAATGTTGACAACTTCCAACTGTACTGCACTGTTCTCTGCTGTGTTTGCAGGCAAGGCAAGGTTAAGGCTTCATGTTGGAATCCCCATGATCCTTGTGGAACTCTGAATAATTGAAAAATGAATAGAAAATTCAGCTTTCTTTTCTGCTTATGTGTAAAGCTAGTTTGTCCTATACTGGATCTAGTTTGTCCTCAGTCATATCAGATACCAAGCAGAATCAGAATAGAAATGGCTTTGTCACATATGCATGTGTAGTACGATAAGAAAAGTGTGTGTGTGTGTGTGTGTGTGTGTGTAAGAGAGAGACAGACAGACAGAGAGAGACACAGAGAGACACACAGAGAGAGACACAGAGAGACATAGAGAGACACACAGAGACACACAGAGAGAGACAGAGACGACAGAGACAGAGAAAGACATAGAACTGGCAATGGAAGCTGTTGAGGCATGGGAAAGAAGTTATAGGATGCTTAAACTGGGTAAGAGAAGGAGTTCCCTCACTCTTGGTGTGGTTGCATAAAAATCCAGCACAAACTTTTCAAACAATGCCTTGCTGTATTGAGAGAGTGATAAAAAACATGCAGAATGAGCCAAAGAAACACTGATATCTTTAATTTTTTTTTAAGATTGAGGGCTGTTCAAAGTCATTGTATCCCACAGGGCAGCCAGAACTCTTACAGAAAATCCACTATCTTTTTGGTGTGAAAAATCAGAGGGTGAAGTCTGGGCTGTCTACAGCCATAAACAGTACAGAAATAATCAGGTATTTGTATGGACAGTAGTTACAAGGATGTCTAGATAGTCACAAGACACGAAGCCAAGATATAATTCATTTAAATTTCTTTTAAAAAGCTTGATAACATAACTTATCTACTTTCCCTAACTTAGACATATAAAATCTGGCTTTTATTTCCAACAAAAATTGGCATACAGCCACTGTGTATTTAAATTGCAGCACTAAATATTTTGACAAGGGAGTATGGGCAATAGTCAACAGTAGTAGATGGTATTCTGGCAATGGTGCAGAATTAACACACACACACACACACACACACACACACACACGAGTCATTTGTTTACAATAGCCACCATTGTGGTCTGCTTTCTGTTTCTATAATAAAATACTACAACTAAAAGGAACATGGGGAGGAAATGGCTATTTCAACTGAAGTCTCGCTGTCTATCATGATGGCATGAAGGAATATCAGGGCAGGAACTCAGGTCAGAAACCAGAAATAGGAACCGAAGCAGAAGCAGAGGTCATGGAGACTTGTGGCTTGATGACTTGTTCCCTATAACTTGCTTAGTCTGCTTTCTTATATACGTCAGCACTGGGGGTGCTACTTTCCATAGAGTCCTGGGCACTCCTACATCAATCACTGATCAAGAAAATGCCTCACTACAGGCACTCTGGTGGAGGAGGGATCTCAAATGAGGTTCCCTCTTTCCAGATGAACTAACTAGCTTAGGCACAGTACTCACAGGGTTCTTTAAAGACTGTGTCCATTTCTAATTATTCCATACTTTTTAAAATATAAAACTTAATACACTATTTAAGGAAATAAATTGTTATTAGAAGTTTGTGGTGGGTCGCATATCCTGTAAGGATAGCCTTCTGAATGTGACAATTTATAAAGAAAGTGGAAGAAGTTATGCTGGGTTACCTAAATGTACTTAATGAAATCACAAACACTTAAGCACCTCAAACACTTAAGAATGTCTAGTGGATGATCAGTGAGTTTTATAACTATTAAATAAGGCAAAAGAGGAGGGCAATCAGAGCCCAAAGAACACGTGCTAGAAAGAAGGTACAGAAGCAGATACCTCAGGGATTTTCAAAGAAGTACACTGCTATCAATCCCCCACTTCCTAGTAATTCCTCCCAGAAAGTCAACGCATCCTACCTTCTGCAGATGTTCTATTTCATGTTCTCATAAGTCCGTATAATCTGTTTTTAGTTTGTCATTTTAGTAATTTAGAAATTACATATGTTTCTATCCCACAAATTTCCAGCATCTGTATTGATAATTTTAGAAGTTACATTTTCAAAATATGTTGTGCAATCATTTACAAGTGTTAAGATAACCTTCCTTACTCCTTTGCTAATTGATGTGATTATTTGTTTTGAGGTTTTGCAACCCAGGACCTTGAGCATTTTAGGGGAGCAGCTATTCCTCTGAGCTGTATATGCCACCCGCCTTATTATCTTATTAGATGCCCTAAATCCCCAGTTGGCCCCTACTGCTCTCCTGCCACTTAGTCATTTCAATGTCTATGGAGCTGATAATTCAATACCCTGGGTCTTATCTCCAGTAACGTCATCCATAACCACAAATCAGCTGCCCACAAGAAAGTTATGTGAGCCAATGTTGTCTGATCCCAATCCCCTTGTCTCCAGCCCAGCCCAGTAGCAGTTTTATGGCCACTAGAATTTGATGTTTGTTGGGATAGGAAGTTCACGCTCCTACTAGGTTTCTTTTAAAAAATTTTTTTATTAATCATTCCATTAGTTTACATCTCAAATGATATCACACTTCCAGGTTAGCCCCTCTACCCATGCCCCAATTCCATGATGTTTCACTTCCTGGTTATCCTTCCATGACACCCCCATCCCACATCTGCCTTCCCCCATCCCATTTGCCTTTATGAGGGTCCTCCCCCACCCACCCACACTCTCCCGCCCCACCATTCCAGTATCCACCTGCTCTGGGGCATCAAACCTCCCAAGGACCAAGGGCCTCCCCTCCTGTTGCTGTCGGGAAAGGCCATCTTCTGCTACATATGTATCCGGAGCCAAAGATCCCTTTCAGTACATTCCTTGGTTGGTGGTCTAGTCTCTGGGAGAACTGGGTGGTCAGGCCAGCCTATGTTGTTCTTCCAATGTTCCTCCCCAACCAGGTTCCCTGAATTCAGCCTGATGGTTGGCTCCAAGCATCTGCCTCTGCATTGGTTAGTTGCTGGCCGAACCTCCTCAGGAACTGCCACACTTGGTTCTTGTCCACAAGCGCCTCTTGACCGAAGCAACAGTGTTGGGTTTGGTGTTTAGAGACATGATGTATCTCCAGGTGGGGCCATTCCCCTTTCTTCAGTCTCTGTTTCATTTTTCGTTCCTGTTCTTCCTTTGGACAGGAACATTTCTGGGTTAAAAAACTTTGAGATGGGTGGTGGCTCTATCCCTCGACCAGGGGCCGTGCTTATCTACTGGAGGTGGTCTCCACAGGTTCTTTCTCCCCCTACTCTGCTCATTACAGCTAAAGTCAATCCCATTGGGTCCTAGGGGCCTCATGTTTCTCTGGTGTCTGGACCACTCCAGTCGCTATCTTCAGTTCCGCATCCCCCTTGTTTTTACTCTATCCTCTGTACCTCTCTCATGTCTCCTCCAGATTCTGATACTGCCACCCTTATTTCCTCCTCTTTCTCCTCCTCCTACTACATTTTTATTGTTGACACGGTTTATTCTCACTGCCTACAAAGCTTTGCTTAGACCATGTACCAGGATTGATGACAGTAACCATTTTCTCACATGCGGCCAAAAGTTCCTTGCTTATTTCCTCTGTCATCAGGACCCAGACATGCGACATGGCTTCAACGCCCTCTCGCTGTACTCCTGTTGCATAATGGTGGCTGAATGTGACCACATTAACTGCTGAGTTTAGAATTATAATTAGTCAGTGTTATATTTGCTAAGAGGATCGTTCACTACTTTTGATTCTCAGTTGTCAAACTTGCTTTCTTTCCCCTTAAATCTCACTGATAATCTACTTTGATATTATCTTAGAAATACAAAAAAGGCACTTTCTCTGTTGTGTCAAATAAACCAAAACATGACACCTGCACAGAAGCTGGATTCCTTCCAACAGTGGTTAAATCATACCAGCTCTTTTTCTATGACTCCTCCCCATCTGTGTTTTAAATTCTATCTCATCTACAAATCTATTCAAAGATTTTGAATATATGATTTTTCTTCTAAGTCACCATTAATATTTCCAAGTTTTATTTTAATTCATACCTACTTGTTCATGCACCCTATTCTATACAGGTGCCATACCTTTCATCTCCAAAACAACAGCGAATCTCAGCCATACCTTCCACATACGAACACATCATTTCTATAATGCTGTTAACCACAGAAGAGTTCAAGAAGCTGTCTCTGCCTTCCTTCTCTTCTCAGGGCTTCTGAATTTCTTGTATTATATAAATTAAAAACTCTGACATGCTTTCTTTAACCTTCACATAAATATGTTCAATGAGTATTTCCTGGGACAAATCTTACCAATCACATAGGTAGCATGTGGAATAATTATTTTCTTTATTTAAATTATTCTTCAAATGTTTTATTATCCAGACACAATTCTTTTGATTTTTTTCTTAGGGCACCCACTCCCAACTCCCCTCATTGGTTTAACCAGCTCTTCCTATTGTGGTTTCAAAGTAAAATGTCCTTCACAGGCTCATTTACCTGTGCATTTAGTTCCCAGATGATGACAATGCTTGAAAGGGTTATGGAAGAATTTCTCAATTAATTAATTAATTAGTTAATTAATTAGTATTCCAAATGCTGCACAGTCCCAAGGTTTCTCTTCACAGAGTCCCACCCCCAATCTCCTCCCCTTTGCCTCTGGTCTATCAAGTCTCTGCAGGATTAGGCTCATCCTCTCTTACTGAGACAGGGCAAGGGAGCCCTCTGATACACATATGCTAGGGTCCTCGGTCTGGCCCCTGGATGCTCTTTGGTTGGTGGCTTAGTCTTGGAAAGCTCCCAGGATCCAGGTTAGTTGACACTGTTGGTCTTTCTGTGTAATTCCTATCCCCTTCA